TTTTTTTTTTTTTTCATTTAAAAAAAATCAATCCAATTCTAAAGTTACAGAACAAGAACTCTGCCCTTTTCCTTGGTCCTTTCTTGGTCCTTTGTGCTATTCAAACTACAACCTGCTCTCTTAGTACAGGAATCAACAAACTTTCAGTATAGGCCGAGTAGTCAATATTTTAGGCTTGTGGAACATACGATCTCTACTGCAACCACTTAACTCTGTTGATGTCCTGCAAAAGCAGTCACAGATAATGCATTAACAAATGAATATGGCTATGTCCCAATAAGACTTTACTTGCAAAAACAAGTAGTAGTCTTGATTTCGCTCAGAGGCTGTAGTTTGCTGACCTATCATAGCGCATTGATAGCAGGGGATGAGGTTTTTTTTTTTTTTTTTTTTTTTTGGTTTGGTTTTTTGTTTTTGTTTTTGTTTTTGCATGGGATGAGTTTTGAATACTAAGTATCACGGCTGAGAATAGAGAACTTATCTTTAAGTTTACCTGCAATGACTCTATATTTTAAAGATTTTATTTATTTGAGAGAGAGAAACAGGGAGAGAACACAAGCAGGAGTTTGTGCTTCTCCCTCAAGAAGCAGGGTCCTCGGGATCCCTGGGTGGCGCAGCGGTTTAGCGCCTGCCTTTGGCCCAGGGCGCGATCCTGGAGACCCGGGATCGAATCCCACGTCGGGCTCCCGGTGCATGGAGCCTGCTTCTCCCTCTGCCTGTGTCTCTGCCTCTCTCTCTCTCTCTCTCTCATAAATAAATAAAAAAAATTAAAAAAAAAAAAAAGAAGCAGGGTCCTCATTGAGCAGGGAACCCGATATAGGGCTTGATCCCAGAACCTTGGGATCATGTTCTGAGCCAAAGGCAGATGCTTAACTGAGCCACCCAGGTGCCCCTTTATTATTTTTAAAAATATCTCATGGAACAAGTTAGGTAATACACCTGGCCTCAGAGAATTATTCTTAGCATCGAAAAATAGGTGGTATAATAAAATCATATATGCAAAAGGTACAAAAGTAATTCCTAAAGAAGAAATACAAAATGCCAATGAACATTTTTAAAAAGTTAATACTCTGATTTTTAGGCTGTGAAAAAAGACATTATCCAATGATTATGATTAAGACACTTCATTGGGGGCAGCCCTGGTGGCCCAGGGGTTTAGCACCACCTTCGGCCTGGGGTGTGAACCTGGGGACCTAGGATAGGGTCCCGCGTAGGGCTCCCTGCATGGAGCCTGCTTCTCCCTCTGCCTGTGTCTCTGCCTCTCTCTCTCTCTCTGTGTGTCTCTCATGAATAAATGGGTAAGATTTAAAAAAAAAAAAAGACACTGTGTTGGTATACTCAATCTTTTTTGGCGGTATACCCAATCTGAAAAGCAACTTTAGAATGACAAACAAAAGCCTTTAAAATGTTCATACTTAATACAAATTCCTCTTAAATCTATGAAAAGACTCTCAACATATAAAAGAGATGTAAAATTAAAATCATGATGAAATACCATTCTTGGGGGCACCTGGGTGGCTCAGTGATTGAGCATGCCTTTTTCAGGTTGTGATCCTGGGGTCCTGGGATCAAGTCCCACATCAGACTCCTGAAAGGTAGCCTGCTTCTCCCTCTGCCTATGTCTCTCCCTCTCTCTCTGTGTCTCTCATGAATAAATGAATAAAATCTTTAAAAAAAAAATACCATTCTCACCTATCAGACTGGCAAAAAAAAAACAAATTTGGGGAGTACAAAATAATACTGTTCCTACAGAAGGCAACTTAACAGTACCTACCAAATTCAAATACATTTATTCTTTGGCCTGGAAATCCAAAGTCTAAATATTTATCCTGTGCCTATACCTGTATCCCATGCCTACACCTGTATGCATTGAGATATATCAAACTTACTCATTATAGCATTGTTTGTAACAGCACTAGATCAGAAATAACACAAATGTTCATGTATAGAAATATTATGTGGCAGTAGGAATAAAAAAAAGAAAAATATCCATACATATTAATACAGAAAGATCTCCAGGAAATAATCTAAGTGAAAAAACAAGAACATAGGTAGTATGCTCCCTTTTATAAGAAAGACAAGAAAATAAAGAGTATATAATTGCTTTTGCTGATATCTGATTAAGGAAACCCTGATATTCAAGGAATCCAAATGGTTACCCATAGGGAATGGATGGAGATTGAGATAGCAAAACATCTTCATGTATGTATCTGTATATATGTGTGTGGTTTTGATCTGTGAACCGTATTACCTATTCAAATAATACATTTTTAAAAAGATCATTGTAAGGGCTAAATGAACTTGGAAACGTACCTAACAAAATGTGTAGCACAATGCTTTACACACGTCCTTCTGCTAGTCTTTGAAATGTCATCCAAATGGTATAACATATACAAATAAAAGAATACCAAACATTTAGACTTAATATTTTCACCTCTAGGAATCTACCTTTATAAAAATCTAAAAATTGGACAAAGATATAAATAAATAATAAACTGTTGAAACAAACCAGAAACACAAAACCAGAAAAAATATTCAATAAACTATAGTACATCTATAGTCATAAGGCATTTTTAATGATAGAAAATGTTTAAAATACAGAACTTTATAATCTCAAATGGGGGGAATAAGGTAGTGGGGACTGGGAGAGGGGAGTGGAGGGCAGAGAGACATATACAAAAATAAAAGATCTAGAGAAAGTATAGCAAATAAGCTTTTATAGAGGAACTGTTGATTATTTTTATTTTCTCTTTCCGTATTTGTCAAATTTTCTTTTAAGCATGTAGTCCTGAAAAAGGAAAGAAAGGAAATGAGAGAAAATGGATCTGGGGATCAAGGCGCTACAAGCTAAAATCTTATTATTTGCACTTTTTTTTTTAAGATTTTATTTATTTATCTGAGAGAGAGAGAGACAGAGATAGTGACACAGAGCACAAGGGAGGGCAGAGAGGGAGAAGTAGGCTCCTCTCTGAGCAGAGGGCCCAATGTGGGGCTCTACCCCAGAACCCTGGGAACATGACCTGAGCTGAAGGCAGACACTTAACCAACTGAGCCACCCAGGTGCCCATATTATTTGCACTTTTAAAGTAGGCTCCATGCCCAGCTTGAACTCACAACCCTAAGATCAAGGTCTGTCTGATCAAGCGTCAGATGCTTGGGGCACCTGGGTGGTTCAGCTGGTTAAGTGACTGACTCTTGATTTCAGCTTAGGTCATGATCTCAGGGTTCTGAGGTTCTGAGATCAAGCCCCACGTGGGGCTCTGTGCTCAGTGTAGAATCTGCTTATCTGTCTCCCTCCCCCTACTTGCATACTCTCCCTCTCAAATAAATTAAGAAAAAAATAAGAGTAGGCTCCTTAACCAACTGAGCCACCGAGGCATCTCTATTATTTGCACTTTTAGACAAGTTACTGAAGCTCTTGAAGCTTCCAGATCTGTCAAATGGAGATGATTTCCAAATTCCAAGGTTACTTTGTAGATTAGACACATTTTATGTATAAAGGACATACATGTCTTAAATGTAGTGAACACTAGGTAGTAATTACTATTTGTATACATCTTATCTGTGCAACATCGTTTCCTATGTACATATAGTTACACTGTATTTTACCCATCTGAGATACTATTCATTTTAATTGTAAGCAAGTTTTACAAATGTTGAAATGTCAAAAATGATCATCTTGGATATGATGAAATTGGATGTAACTTTAGTGATAAATGCTACCTACCATAAGTACCTTTCCCTTTAGTACAATGAAGTACAAATTCCATTAGAAGCACTTGTTAAAAATCAAGGGACCATTCGCATGGAAGATATACAAGTGGATAATAAGTGCATGAAGAGATGCTCAACATCACTAGTCACTAGGGAAATGCAAATCAAAACCACAATGAGATACCAACTCATACCCATCAGGGTGGCTACTATCAAAAAGCCATAAAATAACAGGTTTGGGTGAGAATGTTGAGAAACCGGAACCTTTGACCACTGCTGACAGAAATGAAAAGTGGTGGAGCCACTATGGAAAACAACTTGCCAGTTTCTCAACAAATTAAACACAGAATCCTCATATGACCCAACAATTTCACTTCTTGGTAGATATCTGTAAGAAGTGAAAGCAGGGACTTGAACAGATATTCATACAGTCATGTTTTATAGTACCATTATCCACAAGAGCCAAAAGACGGAAGTAACCTAAATGAACAGCAATGGATGAATGGATAAGCAAAATGCAGGGAATACATAAAATCAAATGTTATTCAACCTGGAAAAAGAAGGAAATTCTGACATGCTACAAAATGGATGAACCTTGAGGACATGCTAAGTAAAATAAGTCAGTCCCCCAAAAGACAATTATATGATTCCATTTATGAGGTATGAGACTCCCTGCTCAGCAGGAAGTCTGTTTCTCCCTCTGCTTGTGCTCTCATGCTCTCTCTCTCTCTCTCTCAAGTGAATAAATCTTTTTTTTTTTTAAAGTAGGACTATTTTTTCTAAATTAATTTATTTAAGTAATCTCTACACCCAACATGGGGCTTAAACTCATGACCCTAAGATGACGAGTCACTTGCTCTTTGAACTTAGCCAGCCAGGCACCACAGGTCTATTTTTTAAAGTAATATGATCTCCTTTAAAAAGTTATGAATAACAAAAAAAAAAACATGAAATAAAAACCAAGTATTAAACTACCTTAATAAACATTTTGACTGAGCCATGTAAACCCTCAATTGAGGGGATCCCTGGGCGGCTCAGCGGTTTAGCGCCTGCCTTCAGCCCAGGGCGTGATCCTGGAGTCCTGGGATCAAGTCCCACGTCATGCCTGCTTCTCCCTCTGCCTTGTCTCTGCCTCTCTCTCTCTGTGTATCTCTCATGAATAAATAAAATATTTTAAAAATAAAAATAAAAAAATAAAACATCAACTGAAATTTAAATACTGTAAACAAAATACTATGGTCAGAACAATAAACTTATTAATTTCACATTTGTTTTTGCTTTTTTACCTGGGAGAGAGAATAGTACCAAGACACAGGAAGATCAAACACTCTTAGTACTGCTGTCTTCAAGGAAAACTGTGATTCCTTTACTGTTTCTTCTGACATGACTCCTCTTCTGATCTTCATTAAATGAAACATAAAAATATATGAGCCACCAAATGAAAGATACAAATTCAAAATTTATCTCTATCAGTTTTTTCTTTTTGCAGTTAATTATTCATGATATTCTTCCCTGAAGAAAATTATGAGCTAAATTTATCTGAACTACAGGTTTATTTATTAATCACCAAAGCACCCAAAAAGAAAATGAGTTAGATTTGAACTATGAGTTCAGATAGCATATTTCCCTTAGAAAATTGCAAGTTCTAGATTCTCTCTTTTCTGGTTAAACATGTCAGCTTTTAAATGGTAATGTAAAATCAATTCCTTCCCACCTATTTCCTACAAGTAATAGGAGAGACAGGTGCTGAAGGGAATCTGATTGGAACCAGGACTCCTGGGGCCAGAAAGTAAGCTCAGTTCACTGAACTTCAGAACTCAGGCACTTATTTTCCAACTAGCCCATTTTAAAGATCTTCAAAGAAAGGCCACATACATGCTATAAAATTTTAGTATTTTTTAATGCCTATTTCTATTGAAACCAGAAAAAGAGAAGTCAGATGTCTACAGAGAAGGCAGCTATCTCTCAGAAGGGCCCTTAAAGATAGCAGAACCATCACAGAAACACGATGGTTCTGGCCCTGGGTCTATGCTTTTGAAGGACAGAAACTCCATTTTACCTGTGTACCTAGCTGGACGCATACTAAACAAAGTCACATAATACTGACGTATAAATTAGCTTACAAATTTACTTATTTATAGTAAATATGCTATCTACTAAAAGAATACCTACATATGTCATCAAAACATACCCTCTCTGAAATAGAAAACGGTAAGGAGCTAAATTTAAAAAAAAAAAAAAGTTATAAAGGCTCCCTGGTGAGCACAAAATGAATGGGTCCTAAAGAATATTTTATCTAGGCCAATTAAAAGCCTGAACCGGTCTCTGGTACACAAGAGAGTAGGCTTCTCCAGTAACCAGAATCTTTATGTCTACCAAATTTAACATTTCTTTTCCTCCAATAGGGCCACAGGAACATAACTAAAGAGAAAATAAAAATCGTTAGCAATCTCGCTATAAAAGCTTATTGGCTGGCTATACTTTAAGTCCTTTATTTCTGGGCAGCCTGGGTGGCTCAGTGGTTTAGCGCCGCCTTCAGCCCAGGGCGTGACCCTGGAGACCCTGGATCGAGTCCCACGTCGGGCTCCCAGCATGAAGCCTGCTTCTCCTTCTGCCTCTCTCTCTCTCTCTGTGTCTCTCATGAATAAATAAATAAAATCTTAAAAAAAAAAAAAGGCCTTTATTTCTGCATATATTTCTCCTCTTTTTGTAAACTCTAGTAGACTATCCATTTCGGTTAATATCCTTTCTTCAGACAAGTATCAAGTCCACTGATTAAGTAGTAGTTTCCTTTCAAATCAAACACAGTTAATACTTCTTAAGGTGGGTTACTGCTACTGATGCTAACCTTACTCCCTACTAGTGACACTCACAGGGTACACACTTAATCTCCCCTCAAACGTATTCTGATTACAATGTTCAGGCTCAGTGTAATTCTAATGGAAGTACATTTATTCCAACCAAAAAAACTATGATATAAACATTTAACTGAGAAATACAAAGCAATCCATGAAGAAAGAAACAAGAGAAAAATGGTCCACTGGAGAACAAGGCTGGCATGTAAGAAAGGTTGGGCAAGGAATCATTACTTTTCATTATAAGTCTTCTCGAATATTTGATTTTTTAAGCACCTGTATTATGCTAAAAAGAAAAATCTTAAAAAAAAGAAAGCAAGGATCCCTGGGTGGCGCAGCGGTTTAGCGCCTGCCTTTGGCCCAGGGCTCGATCCTGGAGACCCGGGATCGAATCCCACGTCGGGCTGCCGGTGCATGGAGCCTGCTTCTCCCTCTGCCTGTGTCTCAGCCTCTCTCTCTCTCTCTCTCTCTCTGACTATCATAAATTAAAAAAAAAAGAAGAAGAAGAAAGCACACTTATCCCCTCCGCCTCCCAAAATCCACGACTTCTTGAGGAACATTTTTAGTAACTGAAGATTCTGGATCATTAAGCTATCTGTGCTACAGTTTAAAAAAAAAAAACTGAATAATTCATCTAAAGGGACTTTCTCCATCATAGAGGGTTCCAATTTTTTAAGCAGAGGAGAAAGAAACATTTCAATCTAAGCTGCCGCGGCTTCCTTAAGAGTTCTGACAATTTTTTTTTTTTTTTGCATTCTCATTTACCTCATTCCATTTAACTTAAAATCACTGAGGGAATGATTCCAAACTTAATAATTGAATAAGGTTAAAAATAAAAAAATAAATAAAAAACAAGCGTGTCAGTTGTTTTCATAAGCATTAATTAAAATGCACACTAAAATAAATAAAATAAAATGCACACTAAGGCGGTTTAATTCTTATTCAACTTTGTAGAGTGCGTCTAAAACATCACCCAAAATACTATATTATGTAATATTATTCGCTCCTCTCCAGCTAACCACTGCAGAGCTAAAAAAAAAAAAAGAAGAAGAAGAAGAAGAAGAAGAAGAAGAAATGTGTGATAAATAGTTTCCTAAACCCCCTAAAATTCTACTCTACACCTCGGACTTTAGAATTTAAGCAGGAAAGTCTGAACTACACACACACACACCCAAAAAAAAAAAAAAATGACGTGAAACCTAAACCCATGCAACGTAACTGTGAGAAAAACACAGCAAAAACGCTTCGTGGGCAATGCTGCTAAAACAGCAACGACGCAGGTCTGTGCAGAGCTCGGTCTCCGGGAGTCCTCCCTCGGGGATGCAGACGAGGAGCGACGCGGGTTAGAGGGTCCCGGGGCCGGAGGCCGCAGTCCGCCGGGGCGGTCTCCACCGAGAGCACCTGCCGAGGAGGCCCCCCCGCCCCCCGCGCCCCCGGGTCAAGCCCCGTGCACGCCCCGCTCGCACCGCGGCCCCGCCGCCGCCCAGGCCCCGCGCCGCTCCCCTCGCCCGCCCCGCCCGGCCCGGCCCCCGCCCGGCTCGGGGCAGTCCGGAGCCCAGCCGGACGCTGCGCGGCCCCGGCCCGCCCCCTCCTACCTGCGGCTGCCCCCGGCCAGGTGTGGCTGACCCACGCCCGCTTCCCCGCCGCAGCCCCGCGCTGAGCCGCCGCCTGGCCGCGGGAGCGGAGTCCTTCCGGGGTCAGGGGTGGGAAGCTGGAGAGAAGGTGGCGGGGGCCTTCTAGCCTTTCTGCGTGAGGGGCTACGTGGGAAGCCGCTCCCGCCATTTTTGTTGAGGGCAGAAGATTTCCGCCTCGCCTGCTGCAGCTAAGGACGGCTTGGGGACAACTGCGGTTTTACGGTGCTGCCAACTGGCAATCGCATTAAGTAGCCTTTTTTAGGGGCTCTGGGACCATTCGTTGAATCTAGTGAAAACTAGGAGATCTTACCCCCAGAAAAATGCACCTAGACACACTCATACATTGTTTTATTTTTTTTGTTGTTGTTCATACATTGCTTTTTATTTTATTTTATTTTATTTTCATATATCGTTTTAAAGGAAAAAATGCATACAGTGCATACAGGTTCAGACGCCCCAAGCCAACCCACGGAGCTCAGGTTGAGAACTTCTACTATAGATCCGCAGCACTTGAGCGAATGCATGTTAAGAGGTATTCTAACCCTGTATTGAGGTTGGGTTTTTTTTTTAAGATTTTATTTATTTATTCATGAGATATATATATACCTAGAGAGAGAGAGAGATTGAGAGAGAGGGGCAGGGACACAGGCAGAGGGAGAAGCAGTCTTCTTGCAGGGAGCCTGACGTGGGACTTGATCCCAGGTCTCCAGGGTCACGCCCTGGGCTGAAGGCGACGCTAAACCGCTGAGCCACCCGGACTGCCCTGTTGGAGGTTATTGATTTAAATTTCTGTTTAGTTTTTCTCCACATTTCCCACTGAATTAGAATATGTAAATGAGGCCATCCCTGAGTCGTTAGGCACAGTATACACTGTTCTTAGGTCCTAACACACAGTAAACACATGGGCCGGGAGGGGGGATGTGGAGAACCACTGCACACACAAAAAGATGCTGTTTCCATGTGCAGTCTCAGGGCAAAACATTCCATCAACACTGCACATTTTTAACTTCCAATTGCTGAGCACATTTGTGGTGAAGTGTCAAAATAATTTTGTAAGGATAGCTTAAACATGACAGTAGTTGTTACTATTCCCACCTAAGGAGCAGGAATGAATAATCATTTCTGTTCGTTTCCAAAATTCCTTTTTTTTTTTTTTTTTTAGATTTTATTTATGTTTTGGAGAGAGAGAGTGAAGGAGTGAGAGAGAACATAAGTAGGGGACAGGCAGAGGGAGAGGGAGAAGCAGCCCCCTACTGAGCAGGGAGCTCTATGCCTGGGGTGGATCTCAGGACCCCAGGATCACGCACGACCTGACCCCAAGGCAGACGCTTAACTGACCGAGCCACCCAGGTGCCCCTTGTTTTAAAAATTCCCATATAGGGATCCCTGGGTGGCGCAGCGGTTTGGCGCCTGCCTTTGGCCCAGGGCGCGATCCTGGAGACCCAGGATCGAATCCCACATCGGGCTCCCGGTGCATGGAGCCTGCTTCTCCCTCTGCCTGTGTCTCTGCCTCTCTGTGACTATCATAAATAAATAAAAAATCAAAAAAATTTGAAAAAAAATAAAAAAATAAAAATTCCCATATAGTCAAATGGGAAATAAGGAGAATGACCATACTGATGTATGACTTTGGTAGGTGAATAGTGACTGAAAGTGCACATAGTTCCATGTGAAAATGTTTTGCACTTATAAAGTAAATGGTGCCATTGACATTTGAAGAACCTGGAATTTGTAAGGCTGCCTTTTGTTTATTCTTCCAATCTCCTTTCCGCTGCCTCCTCCCTACTTCCCACAATTTCTGAACATTCAGCATAATGGGAAGAGCGGTATTAATAACTACCACTTAAAGCAACTTTACTGAGAACATTATCTCTTTTAATTTCACAATAAACATTATACTAGTACATACTCATTATGGATTTTACTCTTTAGCAAGGGAACAAGGAATGAAATATTTTTGTTACTTTTCTAAATCAATGTAACTTGCTCCAAGCCTCCCTTCTCCTGGGTTGGCAGAGTACATAATTGCTAAAATTAATGAAGGGAAACCTCACTAAATGGACTCAGGATGATGTAAGGAGGGGCTGGAAGGGAAAGCTGTACCACTCAATGTCAATTAGGGAAGGAATCGTCAGTCACAGGCTCCAATAGGAAAGCTATACATTTCATCTCCTACAAGAAATCAACTACTCCTGCAACTCAGCCAGTGAGAAACCATCATCATCCCAAACCCTTGCTTTTCTCCAAGGGAATTTTGTTCAAAACAACCCCTCCCATCTTTCTCCTTCTCCGTAAAATAAGGTTCTTCTCCTGTGTTTGTTAGACTTGCCTATGGTTTTACCATACCTTGCTTGTCCCAAATTGCGATTCTCTGTTATTCCCAAGTAAACCCATTTTTGCTGGTAAAATAATTGAGTGTTTTATTTTTAAGGTTAACACACAATCTTAGTCATTAGTAGGTGTATCAATTAGGATGCTGTTAGTTACAAGCAAAAGAAAACCAAACAAATAGTGACTTAAACATAGGACAGGGTATTCCACATGGATGCAGCATCAGGGAGGCACAGTCTCACATTTGGATATGATGTCTTTTTTTTTTTTTTAGGATTTTTTTTTTTTTATAATTTCTATACTCAACCAGCGTTGGGCTCGAACTCATAACCAAGAGATCAAGAGTTGCATACTACTGGCTGAGCCAGCCAGACATCCCTGGATATAATATCTTATGTTATCTTGGCCCAGGAGAAAAATGGGGTTTGGTTAATTCTAGAGGTCTGTCCCTCGCCCAAAGTGAGGAGAATCGCTAAACAACCATCAATGAATTTGGAAGACCCTATATGCATAGTATCAAAACAATGCTGTAGTTTTAGACTGTCCAGGTTCAAATCCTTTCTCTGCCTCTTACTAGGTGTGTGGTCTTGGGTCAAGTACTTAAGTTTATTATATCTCCGTTTCCTCTTTGGGGTGTTAGGAAGATAAATGTAATAGTTCTTGAAAAGCATTAATATTCTTATGTAAGTTTTTAACTTGAGAAATAACTCCATTGGATCTGAGGATAAAACTTTATTTCCATATAATTGGTTTCCTTTGTAATCCTATACATTTTGTTTTATGCACATAGAAATGTTTCTTTGAGAAGAGGGTCCCTAAGCTCTACCAGAATGTCAAAGGCGTCCAAGATACCAAAAAATGGTTAAGAACTTAGAACAATTCTGACACAAATTTCTGAGATGTAGGTCATATTCTATGGAACTTTTCCATGTCCTTTGGCAGAAGCACCAAAGCTAAAAGAAATAGATACCAGGGCACCTGAGCGGCTCAGTCGGCTAAGTGTCATGATCTCAGGGTCCTGGGATCTGGACTGCTTTGGGCTCCTTGTTCATCGGGGAGTCTACTTCTCCCTCTCCCTCTGCCCACTCCCAACTCATGCTCTCTCTTTCTTTCTCTCTCTCTCAAGTAAATAAAATCCTTAAAAAAAGAAAAAAATAGATGTCAAGTGGCCTAAGTATTCTTAAAAAGGATGCTAAACCAACCACACAGGGCATGCTAGAACTAATGTGAAGCCCCTTTAGCAATCCTCGATTCTCACAAAGCTCCAGGGAATGATGCCGTAGAATTGATCAAAGAAGTTTAAAAAATGAAAATGCCTAAGAGACAGTTTTCTGGAGTGCTGTGTGTGAGGAGTGGGGAGAGGAGAGTTCATATCCCATCCTACCCCTACCTCAAGCTAAGCGAAGGAACTTTTAGAAACTAAGACAATTTGACTTCTGTGCCCTATAATTTATGTTGCCTGAAAAATCTAAAGACAACAGACCATCCAAAGAGGCCTCTGACGGCAGAGCAAAGAAAGAGGGCTGTAGTGAAAGTGGCCTGTACTTGCAATTTTGCAAGAAACATTATCCTGTGGGCCATATGAATGCCACAGGAGGTAGCCAGGCTTGAACGACCCTTTGAACCAGGAACTCAGTGGAATATCCAAATGGTTAACCACAGATTCCCGCCCCCCCCAACTATGTTAGGAAATGATACAATGAGAAATCCCCAGCAAGAGGGGCAGTCATTGAGGAGCCCACAATAATAAGAAAAGAGCCCAGCATTTCGGAATGAGCCACATGTAGAAGGCACCCAAATCAGATTTAATTCACTGGTTGTGTGTAGCTGACATTTCATTTAGGATATTGAGGACCACTGCTCACTCTACCTGACACATTAACATATGGCCAATGAACTTCCTAAAATATTGGTGGAAACAGCACTTATCAAGTGAAAACATTAAGCCTGACCAAATTCTAACAATTTAGTTAAAAACAATTACATCTCCTAAATAGATTAATTCTTTTAGGTAATTCATATATCCAATTACTTTTTCCATTAACTGCCAAAACCTAGCAGAGTCCCCTAAAATAATTTAGGCCCTCCTTTTTAATCTATATGATGCCAAAAAGCATATACTGGCCATTAAATCTTTGTTCTCATGACCCACCCAGAAGTGTTTGGCAGACTCCTGCACAAGTCAGAACCAAGCCAACAAAGGCATTCAGAACTCAGACATAGCTCTACATGCTAATTTAGAACATGCATTCCTTCAACATCCAAATACTACAGATTCAGTTCCTCAAAATGTTAAACACAGTGGTACCATGTGACCCAGCAAATTCAATTCCTAGATAATACACAAGAGAAAGTAGAAGATACATTTACATAAAAACTTTACATAAATGTGCATAGCAACATTATTCATAGTACCTACAAAGTGACAACCCAAA